GTCCCTTTTCCTCATAAAAGTCACTTGGATGACAAAAAAGGAGATAGTTTGGTTTCTTCAAGCTCTTTTAACTGCATGCTTAATCGTTGGAGAATGATTATTTTTAAAACTGTATAAATGTATCTGCATATGTACATCTGTTTATAAATGTATATATATATCTATATTTCACTGAACATCCTCCTCAAGAATGTTATTTGGCAGAAACTGGAATTTGTTTTAAAATCTTTTCACTCCTGAACACTATTTTAAGTGTCTTTGTTATCTGTGTTGGCATAAAAATTACCAATAAACCAACTAGAAATTCACTAGTAAAATTGATGAAACTATCCACCCCCTCCCCAGGGAAATTTATATCTCCTATATTTACTTGAGTTTGCTTTTCTCCTTATTCACAATAAAAACAAAAACAAATTCACTGCCATTGAGTGAATTCTGGCTCGTCGCAACCTATAGGACAGCGTAGTACTGCGCTTGCAGGTTTCTGAGACTGTAAGTTTTTTGTGGGGGTAGAAAGTCACATCTTTCTAATGGTTTCGAACTGCTGACCTTACGGTTAGCAGCCCAATGTGTAACCACTACACCACCGGGGCTCCTTTTGTCCTCATTACCAGCTGATGAAATGGAAGAGCGCAGAAGGTACCGAGTGTGGGTGGAAAACAGTGTGCCTATATGCACACGTGCGGACTAACCCGCAGTCCCTCCCATAGCCAGGAGCACGTTCTTCTTCCAGAAGGAAGGAGAGCAGCAGTAAATGCGGGAACTGTGAGTTAGTAGTGGGGAAACCGAGCCAAAGGGACCTCCCAAAGGCCTTAATGGAGGCCTCTTTCCTGTCGCCTGGGGACAGGGAGCTCGGTGGCATCGCTAAGGTTCTGTACGCCCCTCTCCCTCCCATCATTAGAAATGCCCCGCCCCTGGGAAGCATCATCAAGAATTTTTACTGTACGATCTATGTGCAATTCCTTTGAATATCATAATGGTCGTTATTGCTGTCACAGCACAGGCTCTGTTACTGGAAGGCACCGTGTCTCTGTGGCCCTCCCCAGCGAGATTCTTTTTGTTTCTGCCCAAAGGAAGGCTTCAAACACGCGCTCCTGCTTCCAGGCGCCCGCAAGGCACAGCAGGGCTTCTCCGCAGCGCTGTGGGTCTTCGTGGCAGCAAACATCTCCTCCAGGCCAGGGTGGGTGGGCTCGAATTGCTGATGGCATCCCCATGAAGAGCCCACGACCCCAGCAGGGCTCCGAGACAATAACCTCTCCGTGTATTTTAGAATGAGGAACCCCGATCTTAACTGAAGCCTTTGGCATGCTTGCATTAATATTTATTTAGAGCTGGGCAAACAACGAAAACATTTAGGAGAAGAACACATAGGTGCAGAGCGTGTGTGTGTGTGTGTGTGTGTGTGTACATGCGCTCGCGCGCGCGCGCACGAATTGGCATATTAACACTTTTAACCCCCTTGACAGGACAAGGCTCAAGCCTCCAGGCCGCAGTTTCACGATGTTCCACTTGGTGGCGCCGTCACTTTATCAATGTGTTCCTGCTTCCCCATAAAACTTTCCGTTCCAAGCATGACAGTGGAGAGTCATGCACCAATCCGCAAAGTACAATTCTGAGACAACGTTAGATAAAATCAGTGGAGTGGGAAATGTGTGTTCTCTAAATAGTCCTCAGCGTGTTGATCGTCTCGAAAGGACAAATACAACCTGACCTTGTCAGAGAGCTTCAATAACTTGCCAAATCCCATGAGATCCTTCAAAAACATGAGTGACTTTTTCACAATTATCCCTGAAATGGTCGCTTACTCCAACCTTGTATTATCCTCCATTTCAGGGAAAGGATATGGAAATACTTGACCCAAGTGGCGAATAAACCTCTTTCAAAGGATGGGGGGAAGATGCCTGAGTAGAGGGAGTAGACACAAGAGAGGAGGGACTCTGACACGTGGCTTTGCCGCACACTTGACCTCCAACACGCCCTCTGAGATCCCGTGGGCTCTGAGGCACAGACATACGGAGGACAGAGTTGAACAATTCCGTAGGGTTTCTAAACATGTAAACATCTATGCGCGCAGACAACCTCATCTTTCTCCTGCGGAGCACCAGATGGATTTGAACCCCTGACACTGTGCTCGCAGCCCAAAGTCTGGCCAACCGTGCCACCAAGGATCCTGCCCAACGAGGCTCTCAGCTTGAATTTACTAACAAACCAGACCACAGCAAGCTATTCCCAGAGAGGTGGCCCTCGGTGGAGGGAAGACACCTTCTCAACACACAGCGTTTACCTGGAGCATGGCCATCGAGCTGGTGGGACGCAGGTGCACGCTCTCTGCTTCTGCTGCAGGAGGCTTTAACTGGAAACACTCAGAGCACTTCAAGCACCGCCTAGTGTTTGCAATCTTTTCACCGCTCCTTTTATGCTCCCAGAGCTTTACAACTGTCTCTTTTACACAAGAAAACAGACAAGGAAGTGATGGGGCTAAGCAGTAAGCCCAGTTTTAAATGCCCCGTTGTTAGAAAAGAGAAGTCGTCGGGTATGGGGACAGGGTCCTGTGAATGCCGTGAACCTGAGTGGGCGTGTAAGTGGGAGTGGGAGACAGAGAGAGACGCCTTGGGGGTGGGGGCAAGGGAGGGGGGAAGAGGTCACCCCTTTGAGGAACTCAAACATCATATAAATATAATGACAGAGCCAGAGAGGAAGGGGAGAAGGAAAATCATAATCCCTGCCCCAGGGCCAGTGTATTATCTTGCGTCTTCAGAGGCTAGTTTTTCAGCAGCGAAGCAGAGAGCCGGGCGCCCACCATGGTGACAAGGAGCCTCGTGCTTCTGCTGCACCTTAGCCTGC